GTGTGGGTGACCGAGAAAATCCCAGCAGATTTCAAGGACGCCACCATCATCACCCTCTTCAAAAAAGGGGAAAAAACAGACTGCGGAAACTATCGAGGTATCTCCCTTCTAACCTCCGCTGGGAAAATCCTCGCAAGAATCCTTGCAAACCGCCTTCTGCCCCTCTCAGAAGACACCCTCCCAGAATCTCAGAATGGCTTCCGCCCCTCCAGAGGAACAGTGGACATGATCTTCACTGCACGACAGCTCCAAGAAAAATGCAGAGAACAAAACCAACCTCTGTACATGGCATTCATCGACCTTGCAAAGGCATTCGACACAGTGAATCGCAGCGCTCTCTGGACCATCCTCCACAAAATCGGGTGCCCAAACAAATTTGTGAACATCCTGCGGCTCCTCCACGATGACATGATGGCAACATTCTTGGACAGCAGTGGCTCCCAAAGTGACCCATTTAAGGTGGAATCAGGTGTCAAACAGGGATGTGTTATTGCCCCAACTCTATTCTCCATCTTCATCGCTATGATACTTCACCTTGTTGATGGGAAGCTTCCCACCGGAGTGGAAATAATCTATCGGACAGATGGCAAGCTATTCAACCTCAGCAGACTGAAAGCAAAAACCAAGGTTACAACAACAGCTGTTATAGAACTCCAGTATGCTGATGACAATGTCGTCTGTGCGGATTCAGAAGAAGATCTACAAGCCACTCTAAACACCTTCGCAGAAGCATATGAGAAGCTCGGCCTGTCACTGAACATCGAGAAAACCAAGGTGCTGTTCCAGCAGTCACCAGCCAATCCCTCTCCAATGCCAGTAATACAGCTTAATGGTGTCACATTAAATGTGGACCATTTCCGCTACCTTGGCAGCCACCTCTCCACCAAAGTCAACATCGACGTCGAAATACAACACCGCCTGAGCTCTGCAAGTGCAGCATTTTCCAGAATGAAGCAGAGAGTGTTTGAGGACCGGGACATCCGTAGGGATACCAAGGTGCTTGTTTATAAAGCTATTGTCCTCCCAACCCTGCTATATGCCTGTGAGACGTGGACTGTCTACAGACGTCATATGCAGCTCCTGGAACGTTTCCATCAGCGCTGCCTCCGGAAAATCCTGCAAATCTCCTGGGAAGACAAGCGGACAAACGTCAGTGTGCTGGAAGAAGCAAAGACCACCAGCATTGAAGCGATGGTCCTCTGCCATCAACTCCGCTGGACCGGCCACGTTGTCCGGATGCCTGACCACCGTCTCCCAAAGCAGTTGCTCTACTCCGAACTCAAGAACGGAAAACGGAATGTTGGTGGACAGGAAAAGAGATTTAAAGATGGGCTCAAAGCCAACCTTAAAAACTCTGGCATAGACACTGAGAACTGGGAAGCCCTGGCCCTTGAGCGCTCCAGCTGGAGGACAGCTGTGACCAGCAGTGCTGCAGAATTTGAGGAGGCACGAGTGGAGGGTGAAAGAGAGAAACGTGCCAGGAGGAAAGCGCGTCAAGCCAACCCTGACCGGGACCGCCTTCCACCTGGAAACCAATGCCCCCACTGCGGAAGAAGATGCAGAGCAAGAATAGGGCTCCACAGCCACATACGGACCCACAAGGAAATCCATAATGGAAGACCATCTTACTCGTCCAACGAGGGATCGCCTAAGTAAGTAAGTGTATATATATATATATATATATATATATATATATATATATATATGGAGATTTCATTGAGAATTTCTTCTTTTACATTAATATTTCCATCATCATCCTATAGTGCAGATGCACCCTGGATTTGCCTATGTGACTCTCTTACATTTATTTATTTCATTTACATCATTTCTATCCCTCCCATTTCAGCCCGAAGGCAACTCAGGGTGGCATACAGACCGGCAACAATTAGATGCACCATATATAGATATAGATATAGATATAGATATAGATAGATAGATAGATAGATAGATAGATCTATATCTATATATCTATATCTATATATATTGTGCCGTCGCGCTTGGGGGCTATTAGTCTTAAAAGGAGGATGGACGTGGCATCTTTCCCCCAAGGGATTGCTTCTTGCCCTCCTTTAGGAAACTGGAACTCCCAAGAACCCAAAACGATGTAAATAACTCAAAATAAGTTTTATTTGTCACAAAGTCATTTCTTCAATGCAATAAACTGGAAAACTTTAGAAGGGTGAAGGAAAAACACACTTTACAGTCTCTATTAGTCCTGGGTCCAAGGGGTTTGAAGCTGAGAAGCCTCACCAGGTTTCCTCTTCCTCAATGGCTGTGATGCCGGAGCAAAACCACAACCCCAATTCAAATGGCCTATTTTGAAGATTCAGGATCTTCCTCTGGTGCCAAAAGAACTGGCTTGAAGGCGCCTGGGTCTCCTCAGTATCGTCCAGGATGATCTGGACATAAAGCATGAGTCCCAGGGGAAAAAACCTCAGAATTGGTGCTAAGAGGTGACTTAAAACAGGGTCCTTTAAGAATGAAGTCTCTTACTCACGTCCATGTTGCAGGAACTCTCATGGCAGAATGAAAAGAAAAGGAAGTTCTCCCCTCTTGCAGGAAGAGGTGGAGCCAAACAGTGCTGATTGACAGCTCCAAGTAACCAATCCATACAAATATACAGAAACATGGCAAAAGGGGCAGGATTAAGCATGATACAACAGTTTAAATCTTACAACTAACAGTTCTATACATAGGTGGCGCCACTCGGGCCGTCACATATATGGTGCATCTAATTGTTGCCGGTCTGTATCCCTCCCATTTCAGCCCGAAGGCAACTCAGGGTGGCATACAGACCGGCAACAATTAGATGCACCATATATAGATATAGATATAGATAGATAGATAGATAGATAGATAGATAGATAGATAGATAGATATCTATATCTATATCTATATCTATATCTATATCTATATCTATATATATGGTGCATCTAATTGTTGCCGGTCTGTATCCCTCCCATTTCAGCCCGAAGGCGACTCAGGGTGGCATACAGACCGGCAACAATTAGATGCACCATATAGATAGATAGATAGATAGATAGATAGATAGATAGATAGATAGATAGAGATAGATATGGTGCATCTAATTGTTGCCGGTCTGTATGCCACCCTGAGTTGCCTTCGGGCTGAAATGGGAGGGATAGAAATGATGTAAATAAAATAAATAACGGAAAGAAAGTCACATAGGCAAATCCAAGGTGCATCTGCACTATAGGATGATGATTGAAATATTAATGCAAAAGAAGAAATTCTCAATGAAATCTCCATTTTCTTGGAAGTGAGAGATTCGCATCTGCAGATCCAGGTGCATTAACGCTGTAGGATGATGATGATGATGATGATGATGATGATGATGATGTCTAAGATGGAAATATTATTGCAGAAGAAGAAATTCTCACTGAAATCTCTATTTTCTTGGAAGTGAGAGATTCACATCTGCAGATCTAGGTGCATTAACACTGTAGGATGATGATGAGGACAACAACTATGATGATGATGATGATGATGATGATGATGTCTAAGACGGAAATATTATTGCAAAAGAAGAAATTATCGCTGAAATCTCCATTCCCTTGAAGTGAGAGATTAACATAGGTGCATCAACACAGTAGGATAATTGATGATGATGATGATGATGATAGAATTATAGAATCATAGAATCAAAGAGTTGGAAGAGACCTCATGGGCCATCCAGTCCAACCCCATTCTGCCAAGAAGCAGGAATATTGCATTCAAATCACCCCTGACAGATGGCCATCCAGCCCCTGTTTAAAAGCTTCCAAAGAAGGAGCCTCCACCACACTCCGGGGCAGAGAGTTCCACTGCTGAACGGCTCTCACAGTCAGGAAGTTCTTCCTCATGTTCAGATGGATGGTGATGGTGATGGCGATAGATGTCTTGCTTTCTTTTCTTGAGATGCAAAGCCTAAAGAATCTGACATCCCTTTAACTGCCATGGCTCGATATTATGCCGTTGTGGGAGCTGTAGGTTAGCAAGGCACGCGTACTTTGTCAAACTACAACTCCCAAGATTCCCTAGCATTGGAACCATGGCAATTTAAGTGGTGTCAAACTGCATGAATTACGCAGTGTAGATGCACCCCCATGTTGTTGTTGTTCATTCGTTCAGTCATCTCCGACTCTTCGTGACCTCATGGACCAGCCCACGCCAGAGCTCCCTGTCGACCGTCACCACCCCCAGCTCCTTCAAGGTCAGTCCAGTCACTTCAAGGATGCCATCCATCCATCTTGCCCTTGGTCGGCCCCTCTTCCTTTTGCCTTCCACTTTCCCCAGCATCATTCCCTTCTCTAGGCTTTGCTGTCTCCTCATGATGTGGCCAAAGGACTTCAGCTTTGTCTCTAGTCTCCTTCCCTCCAATGAGCAGCCGGGCTTTATTTCCTGGAGGATGGACTGGTTGGATCTTCTCGCAGTCCAAGGCACTCTCAGCACTTTCCTCCAACACCACAGTTCAAAAGCACCTCCATACCCCTCCTGTATTTTAACAAACAACACACACACACTCCACTTGCCTCACTGCCAACAAAACCTCTGAAGATGCCATTAGCCACAGATGCAGGTGAAACATCAGGAGAGAATGCTACTGGAACAGGGCCATAAAACCCATAAAACCTACAGCAACCCAGCTTTGTTTTTCCTTATCATATATGGACTTGAGATATATCTACACTGTAGAACTAATGCAGTTTGGCACCGCTGGGGTGGGGGGTGGGGGGCAAAATGCTGTTTGCTTACACTTGAAATTTACCTAGGGCCGGCCCTGCATGGAACCCTGGGATTTGTAGTTTGAGGAGGCATCAGCCCGCTTTTGTAAAACTTTAAGCATTGATAGCATTGAGCCGTGGCAGCCAAACTGCCTCTGGAGTGTGTGAATTTGCAGAATGATCCCCAGGAGGAGTGATGCCCATGCCTACGAACACACCTGCTTGCAAACAACCCCCTTCTTTCCGCAGTAAATAAAGGAGACGGACCCTTGGCAGTCCCTGGTGCCAGCTACGTTTTATTATCTCCTTGCTTGGAAAAATCCCCATTCTGCCTTTTCCTCCTTTGGCAGATCCTGCCGCCTCGCGGCTTCCAAGCCCTTGAGGAAACCATATTGTGTAGCACCACCATTGGGCGTGGTTGTGAAGGATGGGTAGTTTCTTCGGACGTGGGACCTATGAACGCTGTGGTCGTGTCCTTGTTTCTATGCATTACAAAAGGAGAAAAGAAGGAAAACAATGGAGAAAAAAATACAGAAATGCCCTGTTTTGCCCCCTCGCAAAGAGGGCTTCCTATGTCCACAGTGTGTCCTGAAGGTCATGGAAGGGAGGCGTGAGTCGGTCAAGCATTGCACAGTGTCATAAATCCTTCGAAGCCCCCACATTCCCAAATCCAGCCTTCAATTGCTTTTCTTCTTCAAATTGTTTTCGTCCAATGAGTTGCAAATCCACACCTGTTCAATGACAAAAGTCCACGAGAAAGCAACACATTTGATCAACGTCACGGATTCAAGGTGCGACCCATTGTCGTTCAACAGGAGCCACTGTTTCAATGTCCCATAATGAATGCTTTCTGCCACCTTAGCAGAGAATTGGTGGGGTTTAAGGAAGGCTTTGCCCATTTACAAAATGGTGAAGAACATCTAGGATGCTCCACAAAGGGGTGAATGACTGGTAATGTTTACTTCAAGGAACAGCAATAGCAGTACTGAGTGGGCAAGGAGGTCCCTCGCTAGCAGTTGCCTGTCAGAAGTAACGTCACTGTTCTGCTTTTTGGGGACAGGCTTAGGAGCACACCTTCTGCTACTCCTGGGATACAAACTAATCACCAAAACATCATGGTTTCCTCCACCATTGCCTTAAGGAAATCTGGGATGGAGGTTGGAAGGAGGCTATGAGGACCTCCATGTTGCAAGTCTGGAAGGAGGCAAGAATAATTGTCCTGCAAGGACATCTATGGTTAAGGTTAGTAGGAGTCCACCATGACCTCCATGATGCAATGCTGGAAGAAGACTAGAATAATCTCCATGGTGGAAGGTTGGTTGCAGGACCTCTATGCACAAGGTCAGTAGGAACCCACAATGACCTCCATGATGCAAGGTTGGAAGGGGGCTAGAATAACCTCCACAGTGGAAGGTTGGTTGCAAGGACCTCTATGGACAAGGTCAGTAGGAATCCACAATGACCTCCATGATGCAAGGTTGGAAGGAGGCTAGAATAACCTCCACAGTGGAAGGTTGATTGCAAGGACCTCTATGGACAAGGTCAGTAGGAATCCACAATGACCTCCATGACGCAAGATTGGAAGGAGGTAGAGTAGCCTTCATGGTGGAAGGTTGGAAGGAGTCCACAAAGATCTCCACGATGCAAGGCTGGAAGGAGGCTAGAATAACCTTCATGATGCAAGATTGGAAGGAGTCCACAAAGACCTCCATGATGCAAGGATGGAAGGATGCTAGAAGAACCACCATGGTAGAAGGTTGGAATGAGTCCACAATGACCTCCATGATGGAAGGTTGGAAGGAGGCTAGAATAACCTTCATGGTGGAAGGTTGGAAGGAGTTCACAAAGACCTCCATGTTACAAGGTGGGAAGGAAACCAAAGACCTCCAAGTTGCAAGGCTGGAAGGAGGCTAGAATAACCTCCATGATGCAAGGTTGGAAGGAGGCTGTAAGGACCCCCATAGTCCAAGGTCGGAGGAGGCTACAAGGGTCTCCATAATGTGGGGGCACGTCCACCCCATTCATCTAGGCTCCATCTTTTGGGGTTCAACAATGGATTTCATAAGCAATCTGAGGCTGGAACATCAGTCCCTGGTTGGTGAAGAGTTCATTGGCATCCGGGGGCCGCTCTTCTTCCCCTTCCAGCGTCTGGGTGGCTTGATCTTGCAGCTGGTCAGGGAAACCCCCGGCCAGACCTTGAGGGTCCTTATAAGTGGCAAAGAGGGGCTTGTTGCGGTCAATGACGAACATCTCGTGGCCCCGCTCGTCCCGGTACTCTTCCAGCTGGGCGAAGGTGGTGGGCCCGTCCGAGTAGTCGTTGACGTAGAGGATGTTCTCCTCCTTCTTGGCCTTCTTTCGCTTGCGGTGCTTACGGTAGATCATGATGACCAATAGGAGGGCCACCAGTGCCAGCAGGGAGATGGCCACTGCGATGGCCGTCTGGGTGGCCATGCTGAGGGCATTGAAGTCCATGCTCTCCATGTCGTAGAGGGGTTCCTGACTGATGTCCACCGAGGCCGGGTAGCCCCTCGACGTCTGCTGCTGGTGTTGTTGCTGCTGCTGCTGTTGCTGTGAGAGGTTGACCATGAGGTGGAAGAAGACCCTAGCTGTGCCACCTGGGTTGGAGGCCTCACACTCGTACTTCCCAGCATGGGCCACCGTCACATTGTTGAGGAACAGCATCCCACTCCCTGTGTCCGACTGCTCGAAGCGCTCCCCTACACTGCGCTCGCTCAGCTCGAAGGTGCCACCCGACGAACGGGAACCACCGGAACGGGAGCCTGTCCCCGAGCGCCAGTGCGCCAGCTTGCGCCAGGTGACCAGTGGCTGTGGATATCCTGAAGCCTGGCAGGAGACCCGAAGGTCATCCCCCAGCCGGGCTGTGACCTCCAGCGGCTCCACTTGAACCACCGGTGGGATGCAGATGAGGCTGTTGCCGGAGACGTCCATCAGGCTCTGGTAGGCCAAGCGTGGCGGCTCCGAGCAGATGATCTTCTTGTCCAAAGGGCCCAAGAGGCGCTGGCCTTCCTCCTTGATCCAGGAACTGAGCCAGTGCAGGGAGCAGTCGCAGCGCCAGGGGTTCTCTGCCAGGGAAAACACAAAGGGAAGAACTGTTAGATGCTAGAATACAGGCAGTCCTCAAATTACGAACAAGAATGGTTTTGTAATAAATGTATTCATTCCTATGAAATGTTTTAGAAGTATGCAAGGAAAAGTGACCGGGGTATAGGGTGGCAACCTGTGCTGGACGGGGTTACACTCCCCCTGAAGCCACAGGTCCGCAGTTTGGGAGTCCTCTTGGATTCAACGCTCACGCTTGAGGCTCAGGCGTCGGGGGTGTCTGGGAGGGCTTTCGCACAACTAAGACTCGTGTGCCAACTGCGACCGTACCTCGTGAAGGCGGATCTGGCCGGAGTGGTCCACGCCTTGGTCACCTCCAGATTGGACTACTGCAATGCGTTCTACGTGGGGCTGCCCTTGAAGATGGCTCGGAAGCTGCAACTGGTCCAACGATCAGCAGCCAGGATGCTAACTGGGGCCCCTTACAGAGAGAGGTCAACCCTCCTGTTCAAGGAACTCCACTGGCTGCCGTTTATATTCCGAGCCCAATTTAAGGTGCAGGTGCTTACCTACAAAGCCCTGAATGGTTTGGGACCAGCCTACCTGCGTGACCGCATTTCCATCTACGAACCCACACGTTCACTTCGGTCATCTGGAGAGGCCCTGCTCGTGATCCCACCGGCGTCGCAAGCGCGCTTGGTGGGGACATGGGACAGGGACTTTTCCGTGGTGGCCCCCCAACTCTGGAACGCCCTCCCCAAAGACCTTAGACAGGCCCCTTCATTGGCTGTCTTCAGAAAGAACTTGAAAACCTGGCTTTTCCGATGCGCCTTCCCAGATAAGGAAATCTTCACTACCAAGTCCCATAAGCACTTTACCAGAACCAATGATTGTTGCACACCACACATCGCACTTGCCCTAGAAGCTCGTTATACACCTCCTGTCACATCAGCACTTTTAATCCTTGTACCCACCTTTTGGCCCAGCCCAGTTTTATTGTGTTTTAGTGTATTGTGCCTGTTGTTTACTTTGCTTTATTTTGTTTTTAGTTGTTTGATTTGCTTAGATTGTATTGTTATGTTGTGTTGTTGAGGCCTCGGCCTGTGTAAGCCGCATCGAATCCTTCGGGAGATGCTAGCGGGGTACAAATAAAGTTTAATAATAATAATAATAATAAAGGTGTGTGTGTGAACATGTGTGTGACGAAGTCTCTAGTTGTTGTGGCCTGGCCAAATTCTGACTGCTCAGAAAATGAGATTGGAGATGCTGGGTGAGTTTCAGCGGGCCCAGAGGAAAATGTTTTGGAATCTTCCTGCAGCAATGTTTTGGTTTCACCTAGTGGTTCCCAACAGAACGGTGAAGGCCATTCCCATGGGAACCTACCTGAAGTGCTGTCCGAGGTAATTGGGGAAAACTTATGTTTGTCAAGGCCAGAGAGATTAAAGCTATTGTCTATAAAGCTATTGTCCTCCCAACCCTGCTATATGCCTGCGAAACGTGGACTGTCTACAGACGTCACATTCAACTCCTGGAACGATTCCATCAGCGCTGCCTCCGGAAAATCCTGCAAATCTCTTGGGAAGACAGGCGGACAAACGTCAGCGTGTTGGAAGAAGCAAAGACCACCAGCATTGAAGCAATGGTCCTCCGCCACCAACTCCGCTGGACCGGCCACGTTGTCCGGATGCCCGACCACCATCTCCCAAAGCAGTTGCTCTACTCCAAACTCAAGAACGGGATTTAAAGACAGGTTCAAAGCCAACCTTAAAAACTCTGGCATAGACACTGAGAACTGGGAAACCCTGGCTCTTGACCGCTCCAGCTGGAGGTCAGCTGTGACCAGCAGTGCTGCAGAATTTGAGGAGGCACGAATGGAGGGCGAAAGGGAGAAACATGCCAAGAGAAAGGCGTGTCAAGCCAACCCCGACCGAGACCGCCTTCCACCTGGAAACCAATGCCCTCACTGCGGAAGAAGACGCAGAGCAAGAATAGGGCTCCACAGCCACATACAGACCCACAGGAATGTTGGAGGACAATCATCCTCGGAAAACGAGGGATCGCCTAAGTAAGTAAGCAAGTAAGTAAGTCAACAGGGACTCAATTAAGGACTCACTTCTCCCACCCGATCAGAGATAAGGAGACCAGGTGCAAATGAAGTGATGTCATGGGAGGGAGGTTTGGATTTTTAAAGTGGTTCATGTTGATACAATTGTTGTGAGAGCAATGCTGTGTTCAGGTACAGACCACTTGGGAAGAACCATGGAATTCATGGAATCTAAGGGTCAAACTGTTTCTGTGTTCTGATTTTGCGAGGCATAGTTTTGCCTGTCTGGGATTCATGTACCTTGTCTTTGAATGGCATAGTTTTGCCTGCCTTGGATTTGTATACCCTGTTCTTGCACATTTTGTTGGCGTTATCTTGCATACTTTTTCTGAAGGGATTTTTTGGGGGTCTCTTGGCTCTCATGGACATAACCTTGTGAACCTTGATTCCTTGGTCCCTCGTTCCACTCACCTGTCAGGCGCAGCACCTGGAGGCTGATGAGGGGCCGCAGGGCTGCCCGGCTGATGGTGCGCAGATTGTTCTTGCTGAGGTCCAGCAGTGCCAGCGAAGTCAGACCCACCAGCGCCTGTTCCTCCAGCGCCTCGATGCTGTTCTCCTGCAAGTGGAGCTCTTGCAGACGCTGCAAAAAAGGAGAACCGGGCATGTGGTTACGGTAGACAGCACTGAGTTGGGTCATATCTATGTAGAGGCAATCCCCATGTTATGGAACAAGATATATTATTCCCTGTAGTAACCTACGGATGTGAGAGCTGGACCTTAGGGAAGGCTGAGCGAAGGAAGAGAGATGCTTTTGAGCTGTGGTGTTGGAGGAAAGTTCTGAGAGTGCCTTGGACTGCGAGAAGATCCAACCAGTCCATCCTCCAGGAAATAAAACCCGACTGCTCACTGGAGGGAAGGAGACTAGAGACAAAGTGGAAGTCCTTTGGCCACATCATGAGGAGACTGCAAAGCCTAGAGAAGGGAATGATGCTGGGGAAAGTGGAAGGCAAAAGGAAGAGGGGCCGACCAAGGGCAAGATGGATGGATGGCATCCTTGAAGTGACTGGACTGACCTTGAAGGAGACTCTGGGGGTGGTGACAGCCGACAGGGAGCTCTGGCCTGGGCTGGTCCATGAGGTCACGAAGAGTCGGAGACGACTGAATGAATGAACAACAACAAATGCTTTGTAGGTTTGTTCTTAAGTTCAATTTGTATGTTAGTTGGAACAGGTACATTTTGCAAGTGCAACTACAGCCATATCTATCTATCTATCTATCTATCTATCTATCTATCTATCTATCTATCTATCTATCTATCTATCCACCTATCTATTCATCTTCGGATAGCAGAGGGAAGGCTTAACATCCCTGTGGTGCTGGTTTTGCTGTCTGTGCCTCTTTTCAGAAGATTCCATCTCACTTTCTGTCCCTGTGAGAATTGGATTTTGAAAAATGTGGCTTGTTGTGGAAATAAGGATTGGAGATCTTCTGTGGAGATACCTTTCAGGAGTGAATATTCCTTTCTTGAGGAAGATTTCATAGAATCATAGAATCAAAGAGTTGGAAGAGACCTCATGGGCCTTCCAGTCCAACCCCATTCTGCCAAGAAGCAGGAATATTGCATTCAAATCACCCCTGACAGATGGCCATCCAGCCTCTGTTTCAAAGCTTCCAAAGAAGGAGCCTCCACCACACTCCGGGGCAGACAGTTCCACTGCTGAACGGCTCTCACAGTTAGGAAGTTCTTCCTCATGTTCAGATGAAATCTCCTCTCTTGTAGTTTGAAGCCATTGTTCCATTGTGTCCTAGTCTCCAAGGAAGCAGAAAACAATCCTGCTCCCTCCTCCCTGTGGCTTCCTCTCACATATTTATCCATAGCTATCATATCTCCTCTCAGCCTTCTCTTCTTCAGGCTAAACATGCCCAGCTCCTTAAGCCACTCCTCATAGGGCTGCGTCCAAGCGCCTCCTGACCCCACCAGTTCTCCAATTTCAGGGCATCAGGCCCAAGGAGACAAACTCCTCTTGTTGGACATCCAGAGTCTCAGGTTGACTTGGCACTTGCTGTCCATGGGCTCTGAGCTGTTTTTCAGCAGGGTAACCATCTCATGGATGCTTCGCTCATAGTCCTCCACGAGGATATAGTCTGTGGAGGTCCCTGGATTTACTCTCAGCAGTGGGTCAGATATATAAACCCCTTTCCCAGTTCCAACAGACCTCACTACCTCTGAGGATGCTTGCCATAGATGCAGGCGAAACGTCAGGAGAAATGCCTCTAGAACATGGCCATATAGACCGAAAAAACCCACAAGAACCTAGTGATTCCAGCCATGAAAGCCTTCGACAATACAATATCTCTTTGTTTGTGTATCCAATGTAGCTATATAGTCTGTGTGTCTACCTTCTTTCCCTATATTGCCCTGTGGTAAACTCTGTCTCATTGTGAATAAAATAAAAGAACCTTTATAATGCTTTATAAAGTTTGAAAGTATTTATGACAGGGCGTTTTTAACTCAGGAACAGCCTGCAGTTGCAAACTGTTGTAATACACATATTATAATGCTACTCTAGCTCTGTCCCTTGGCCAGATTTCTTTGGCCTGGTTCAATATAAAGAGGATTGCTTTACCATGTGATGTAAGTATGGCCTTCATATCCACAGAAGGATATGCCCTGGGACTTTTCCATGGAAATGCAAAACTGTGAGTAATAGCAAAACTAACTGTATGGATTGAACTACTTCCAGTGAATGGATTCTATAGAGGCCTAAGCCAACTTTGGCCCTCCCTCCAGGTGTTTTCGACCAACTCCCATCATAACTAACAGCCTCCTAGCTCTTTGACCGAGAATGTTTGCAAAGGACCTGGTTGTGGCACAGCTGGTTGGGAATCAGCTGTATTAAAATCACTACTGACCGAGAGGTCAAGAGTTCGAAGCCAGTCTGGGTTGGAGTGAGCTTCCGGCCATTTGTCTAGCGCAGTGGTTCTCAACCTTCCTATTGCCACAACCCCTTAATGGAGTTCCTCCTGTTGTGGTGACCCCCAACCATAAAATCATTTTCATTGCTACTTCATAACTGTCATTTTGCTACTGATATCAATTGTAATGTAAATATCTGATGTATTTTCATTTACTGGACCAAATTTGGCACAAATACTCAATACACCCATGTTTGAATACTGGTGGGGTTGGGAGGGGGGGGGAATTGATTTTGTCATTGGGGAGTTGTAGTTGCTGGGATTTATAGTTCACTTACAATCAAAGAGCCTTCTGAACTCCACCAATGATGGAATTGAACCAAACTTGGCACACAGAACTCCCATGACCAACAGAAAACACTTTGGTGGGACCTTGAGTTTGGGAGTTGTAGTTCACCTACATCCAGGTAGAGCACAGTGGACTTAATGATAGATCTGAACCAAACTTGGCATGGATACTCAATATACCCAAATGTGAACAGTGGGGGAGTTTGGGGAAGATAAACATTGACACTTGTGAGTTGTAGTTACTGGGATGTATAGTTCACCTACAATCAAAGAGCATTCTGAACCCCACCAGTGTCAGAACTGGGCCAAACTTCCCACACAGAAACCCCATGACCAACAAAAAATACTGTGTTTTCAGATGGTCTTTGGCGATCCCTCTGACAGCCCCTCGCGACCCCTCCAGGGGTCCCGACCCCCAGGTTGAGAAACACTGGTCTAGCTTGATGTTGAGCTTTGCAGCCCGAAAGACAGTTGCATCTGTCAAGTAGGAAATTTAGGTACCGCTTATGCAGGGGAGGCTACTTTAACTAATTTACGACGCCATAAAACTCTCCAGCAGCGTGCTAAAGAACGAGGAAGTACTCCATCAGTGTCGCAAGTGGATGGTGAAGCAACAGCTCCCCCGGTGGCCAGAATTCAAAAAGCATACCCTCATGAAGCTGGAAAAATTAAACAGCCTCAGTGTGTCTGTCTATATATGTTGTGTGTCTATGGCATTTGTTCTGTCTTCCAGGAGCATCGTTTGCATTACCTTTTAGTTGCATGGGATAGTGTTCCTTTGCATTTCCCCAGGGTTGCTACAGTCCCAGCAGCACCCTGGAAGTTAAACAGTATCAGAGTCTGCAAAGCCAGCTTGCAGGCCCTCTGCAATTATTGGTTTAGAAAAGTATCTCTTTGGGTCTAGGGACCGCCTTTTTTCCAGGGGATGAGATCTCCATTTTGGAATCTCCCCTGCCTCCTTCAGTAGAGAAAGAAAGCTTCAGATGTGCTGATGGTCAGGCAGGTAACTCTGAAAAAATCATTGTAAGTCTTGATTGAGTTATATAGATAAAGAAGCTGATTGAGTTATATAGACAAAGAAGCTAATTGAGATAGATAGATAGATAGATAGATAGATAGATAGATAGATAGATAGATAGATAGATAGATAGATAAGCGATTGAATGATTGAGTAATATTGGGTCTAATTGAGTATAGATAGATATTGAGTTATTGAATATTATTCATAGAATTATAGAATCAAAGAGTTGGAAGAGACCTCCTGGGCCATCCAGTCCAACCCCATTCTGCCAAGAAGCAGGAATATTGCATTCAAATCACCCCTGACAGATGGTCATCCAGCCTCTGTTTAAAAGCTTCCAAAGAAGGAGCCTCCACCACACTCCAGGGCAGAGAGTTCCACTGCTGAATGGCTCTCACAGTCAGGAAGTTCTTCCTCATGTTCAGATGGAATCTCCTCTCTTGTAGTTTGGAGCCATTGTTCCGCGCCCTAGTCTCCAGGGAAGCAGAAAACAAGCTTGCTCTCTCCTCCCTGTGGCTTCCTCTCACATATTAATACATGGCTATCATATCTCCTCTCAGCTTTCTCTTCTTCAGGCTAAACATGCCCAGCTCCTTAAGCCGCTCCTCATAGGGCTTGTTCTCCAGACCCTTGATCATTTTAGTCGCCCTCCTCTGGACACATTCCAGCTTGTCAATATCTCTCTTCAATTGTGGTGCCCAGAATTGGACACAATATTCCAGGTGTGGTCTAACTAAGGCAGAATAGAGCATGGGGAGCATGACTTCCCTGGATCTAGACACTAGGCTCCTATTGATGCAGGCCAAAATCCCTTTGGCTTTTTTTGCTGCCACATCACATTGTTGGCTCATATTTAACTTGTTGTCCACGAGGACTCCAAGATCTTTTTCACACGTACTGCTCTCGGGCCAGGCGTCCCCCCTTTTGTATCTTTGCATTTCATTTTTCCTGCCAAAGTGGAGTATCTTGCATTTGTCACCGTTGAACTTCCTCTCCAAAGCATTACTTCCTCTCCAAAGCTAACCTTGAGCTATAGCTAGGGAAAAAACCCCTGTTTTTTCTAACCATAGCAGCTCAAGGTTAGGGTGAAAAGATCCCAAGATTTTTTTTCTACCATTTGGGGGAAAAAGTTACCTTAGTAACTGAAGGAAAGGAAAGAAAGATAATGTCTATGGTTTCACCAATTGACTGTTTTGTTTGTAACTTTGACAAGCTGTGCCAAGTCTGCAAGGACTTTGAGAAATAAATATTCTGTATTGTCGAAGGCTTTCATGGCTGGAATCACTAGGTTCTTGTGGGCTTTTTTTGGGCTATAGGGCCATGTTCTAGAGGCATTTCTCCTGACGTTTCACCTGTATCTATGGCAAGCATCCTCAGAGGTAGTGAGGTCTGTTGGAAATAGGACAATGGGTTTATATATCTGTGGAATGGCTGGGGTGGGGCAAAGAGCTCTTCTCTGCTGAAGCTAGGTGTGAATGTTTCAACTGACCACCTTCATTAGCATTTGAAAGCCTGGCTGAGCCTGGGAAAATCTTTTGTTGAGAGGTGTTAAGCTGTACCTGGTTGTTTCCTCTCTGCTGTTTTGCTGTTGTAATTTTAGAGTCTTTTAATACTGTTAGCCAGATTTTGTTCATTTCCATGGTTTCTTCCTTTTTGTTGAAATTGTCCACATGCTTCTTGTGGATTTCACAGAGAAGCCATTGAAATCCACAAGAAGCATGTGGACAATTTCAACAGAAAGGAAGAGACCATGAAAATGAACAAAATCTGGCTGCCAGTATTAAAAAAAACTCTAAAATTACAACAGCAAAACAGCAGAGAGGAAACAGCTTTTCATAGGGTCTGGGTGTGACGGAACAGCACTGAATGTTTGCCATGTCTGTGTGCATTGTGATCCGCCCTGAGTCCCCTGCAGAGTGAGAAGGGCGGAATATAAATACTGTATATAAATAAATACAGTTAAAGGGGTGCCAAAGTGGGTTAAACTCTACAGTGCAGACATGCCCTCGCAACCCCCAAGTGCTGGCCCACCTCCAGGTCGCAGAAGGTGAAGTCGGGCAGGCGGGTGATCTGGTTGCCAGCCAGGTAGAGGACGCGCAGGTGCTCCAGACCCTTGAAGATGCTGCTGTTGATCAGGTGGATCCGGTTGCCGTTGAGGGCCAGCTCCAGCAGCCGGTTCTGGTTGCGGAAGGCGCCCGGCTCCAGGGCCGAGATGGTGTTGTTCTGCATGTAGAGGTACTGCAGGCCCCACAGAGGGGCCAGGTCTTGCTGGTGGATCTGGGTCACGCCGTTGTCTTGGAGGAAGACCGTCTGCGGGACCAAAAACAGGACAGAGGTGCTTACATCAGCTGTTCCCAAACTACATTCCATAGAACTCTAGTGTTCTGCAAAAATATATTTGACAAAATTCCATGCCAAAGTATGAAGATCTTATTAAAACTGAATACATTAGACTGATGTCATGACTACTTTTTAAAACAATGAAAGCATTAAAAGGGTTCATTTATTTCAGTCATACTTACTTACTTAGGCGATCCCTCATTGTCCGAGTAAGATTTTCCAAAATAATTTGCAAATAAATTCGTTAAAAATCAGACAAAGAGATTTTCTGGATGTGTTTTCTCATGTTGTCTCTTATTGTTGAGGTCTACCTATGGTGTAAATTACAGGCCTCTCTCATCTTTTTAAGTGGGAGAACTTGTACAATTTGTATCTGCCTAAATACCTTTTCCCCACTGTATATATACAGGAGACCTGGCACAACATTCAAATTCAGTGTTGCCAGGGGCAGAGGGGTGGGGGAACCGTGGTACATTGACTGTAAGGCAGAGCTTTCCAAAGTGTGCCGGGACATGTTAGTGTGTCGGTTGTCATGCATTGAGGTGTTGCACAGACTCGAATAAATATGGGTAGTCCCTTTTCTCCAGGAGGATGGAAGAGGAGGATGGATGGAAGCAGGGCCATAGCCAGAAAATTTTTTTGGGAGGGGTCGAAAATTTTGCCGGGGGGGGGGGTTTGAAAATTTTGTGGGTGGGGTGGTTTGAAAATTTTGTGGGGGGGTTTGAAAATTTTGCGGGGGTGTGTGTCTGAAACCTGCCTCCTAGCTCACGCTGAAGCCAAGAGCACATCTGCAGGGGGCAGAGCATCCTTCCATAGCCTGCAGCTCCGCCCCTGTCAACCACCTCCACCAAGTCTGGCCTCCTTAATGAGAGCATTCAACACCCCCCCCCCAACTTGGTTGCTCCACTACGTTGGCTATTGCTGCAAGTAATGACAGTGTGAATAAATTGTCAATATTTGCTTGAGATAGTGCTTACAGTTCTGGAGGGACTCGTAATTTTTGCATCTCATAGACTTAGCACGGGGATTTGGTTAACCAGTTAAAATTCATGAGTAAACCAGGTTTTTTTAAAAAAATCTGAAACATTTTTGGGGGGGGGTTGAACCCCTAAAACCACCCCCTCGCTACAGGTCTGGATGGAAGCAGCCTTTGGTTCCAGCCATGGATGAGTTCCCTCTCCCGGAGCCTCACCTGTGTGGAAGGGTGGATGCTGCTGGGGATCTCCTTGAGGCCCAGGGAGCCGCACTCCACAGTCGTGCTGTAGCAGCGGCAGGTGGACGGGCAGGAGCGCACCTGGGCAGCCATCAGCCCCAGCAGGAAGAGGGAGAGGCGGGAGGGCGAGGCCATTCTAGAACAGCTGCTGGCAGAGAAGGAAGCAAAACCCAATTAGCAGAGCAGTAGGCTTAACCTACTGCATGATGTAACACGATTTTTGTTCCTGGGTGATCAATGCCATTTACTAATTGGTTCCATCATAAAAACAACCATGGTCCCGGTAGCAGACACCATTGCATTTATCAACTAGATCAGTGGTTCTCAACCTTCCTAATGGCTGAACATTAAAAATGAAATATTCGTAGATGATCTAACGGTTATAATAGAAGATCTAACACAGTGGTTCTCAACCTTCCTAATGCAGTGACCCCTTAATAAAGTTCCTCATGTTGTGGTGACCCCCAACCATAACATTATTTTTGTTGCTACTTCATAACTGTTATTTTGCTACTGTTATGAATGGTAATGTAAATATTTGATATGCAGGATGTATTTTCATTCACTGGACCAAATTTGGCACAAGTATCCGATACACCCAAATTTCAATACTGGTGGGGTTGATTTTTGTCATTTGGGAGTTGCAATTGCTGGAATTTATAGTTAACCTACAATCAAAGAGCATTCTGAAATCCACCAATGATGGAATTGAACCAAAGTTGGTACACAGAACTCCCATGACTACCAGAAAATACTGGAAGGGTTTGGTGGGCATTGCCCCTGAGTTTTGGAGTTGTTGTTCACCTGTGGACTCAAAGAATGATGGAGCTGGACCAAACTTGGCACAAATACTCAATATGCCCAATGTGAACATTGGTAGAGTTTGGGGAAAATAGACTTGTCATTTGAGAGTTGTATTTGCTGGGATTTATAGTTCACCTACAATCAAAGAGCATTCTGAACCCCATCAACGATGGAATTGAACCAAACTTGGCACACAGAATCTCATGCCCAACAGAAAATACTGGATGTTGCAATCCAGAGCAGGGAACGAGGCCCTAAGATAACTATCCACCACACTTGGCTGTGAAAAACAATCCTATTTTATTGAAGAAAAATGGTTACAAAATAAAGGAAAAATGCAAGTCAAAAGCCACAGCAAAATCAGCAAACATGAATTTAAATGGACAAAGCAAAACCAAAAGCCTCACTGTGAAATACTGGAACCTGTTAGCAATCCACTAACCGTACTTGATATCCTAGAAATCTTCCCAAACTATGGCCAGGGAACCGGGAGAACTGCCAAGGTCTTCATCAATTCTGAAACGATGCCTGAACTGAGACAGTCAGCCTGGCGTAATGCAATTAAAACTCAAGAATCGGTTCCGTGAACCGCCCTTCTTTTTGAAGACAATGTTTTTAATTCTTGAATTCGGGAGGATCGACGCAAACTGAGTGTTTTATTTCTGTCTTCCCAAATTTGGCCCCTTCTGTTGTCATTACAGTTAACAGGTGCAGAAGGGAGGGAAAGTTCAAGGTCTCCCTCTGAAACATTCTCATGAACACTGGTACTTTCATCTTCCAAATCTACAGAAGTTCCTTCCTCACTAATTTCAGGAAAATTGGCATTTTCCAAACCTACAGCAGTTTCTTCCTCACTAATTTCAGGAGCATTGGCATCAAAAGGTACATTTCCACTAGCATCAGTAAATATACTTTCATTAGCATCAGGAGGAACAAACAGAGAATCAGGTTCAAGTTCAAACTCAGGCTGAACCCCAACACTGGAAGGGTTTGGTGGGCATTGACCTTGAGTTTTGGAGTTGTAGTTCACCTACATCCAGGGACTACTGTGGACTCAAAAAATCTTGGAGCTGGACCAAACTTGGCATGAATATTCAGTATGCCCAAATGTGAACACTGATGGAGTTTGGGGAAAATAGATCTTGACATTTGGGAGTTGTAGTTGCTGGGATTTATAGTTCACCTACAATCAAAGAGCATTCTGAACCCCACCAATGACAGAATTGGGCCAAACTTCCCACACAGAACCTCCATGACCAACAGAAAATACTGTGTTTTCTGATGGTTTTTGATGACCCCTTTGACACCTCCTGGTGACCCCCCCAGGGGTCCCGACCCCCAGGTTGAGAACGATTGAACTAGATGTTCCCAGAATACATCAAGGCTCTGTTTCACCATTGCCACACCACCAGCTACTTTCAGTGGGACAATGAATTCTACGAACAGAAAGATGGAGTAGCTATGGGGAGCCCTCTCAGCCCGGTCATAGCTAACTTCTACATGGAACACTTTGAAAAACAAGCCCTGGAAACAGCAACAAAAAAGCCCACGATATGGTTCAGATATGTGGATGACACCTTCACCATTTGGAGCCATGGAGAAGAAGAACTCAACAGGTTCCTGGACCATCTTAACAGCATCCACCCAAAAATCCAATTCACAATGGAAAAAGAAAATGAAGGAAAACTGCCTTTTCTAGATGTCCTAGTTATCCGCAAACCAGATCAACAATTGGGTCACACCGTCTACAGAAAACCCCCACACACAGATAGATATCTACATAAAAACTCCAACCATCACCCAAGTCAAAAAAGAAGCACCATTAAAGCCTTGGCAGACCGTGCAAAAAGAATCTGCGAAGCCCACCTCCTCCAAGATGAACTGAACCACCTCAACTGGGCTCTACAGGCCAATGGAGACTCCACCTCAGACATCAGAAGAGCTGCAAGACAACCGAGAAGAAGCCACGAGAGTCAAGACCAAGATCCACCCAGAGGGAAAGTGTTCTTGCCAGACACCAAGGGAACCACTGACCGCATAGGGAAGCTGATGAGGAAACACAACATACAAACTATCTACATACTCACCAAGAAAATCCAACAAATGCTACGTTTAGCGAAGGACAAGAGGGATCCTCTCGCTTCTGCAGGAGTCTATCGTATACCACGCAGCTATGGACAAGTCTACAGAGGGACCACCAAACGCAGCATTGGCCAAACATAAATCAAGGAACATGAAAGGTGTGACGGCACGAGTGGTGCCACCTATATGTAGAACTGTAAGTTGCAGGATTTGAACTGTTGTATCATGCCTGATTTTGCCTTTTTACCCTGTAAATGTATAGTTGGATTGATTGGTTGTTTATAGCTGTCAATCAATGTTGTTTACACCAATTGAATTGCTCCTCCTGCTCAATTGTTTGACCCCACCTCTTCCTAGAGAGCAGGATGGTGTTTCCTTTTCCATTCCACCATCAAACTTTCTATGGACGTGAGAGAGAGACTTGGCTCTGAAGCCCTTGATTAAGTTACCTCTCAGCACCAATTCTGAGGTTCTTACCCTTGAGACTTATGCTTCATGTTCAGATCAACCTGACGTTGAGAAGTCTCAAGTTCCTTCAAACCAGTTCTTTGGCACCAGAGGAAGGCTTTGTGCCTTCAAAATATAGGCCATTGGAATTGGGGTTGTGATTATTCTGATATTCACAGCCATTGAGAAAGAGGGGCCTGGAAAAGCTTCTCAGCTGCAAAACTCCTTGGACCCAAAACAACCAGAGACTGTAATGTATATTTTCCTTTACCCCTTTGATACTTCCAGCTTATTGCCTTAAAGGGATAACTCTTTGTGAACAATAAAACTTATTTTGAGTTATCTACAGTGTTTTGGTCCTTGGGAGTTCCAGTTTTCCTAAAGGAGGGCAAGAAGCAACCCCCTGGGGAAAGACGTCACGTCCATGCCTCTTTCACTAAGAGTTATAGTACCCAGGCGCGACAGCACAAAAGGCACTGCAGACTCCTTCAACCAGAGAAGTCAGCCATAGCAGAGCACCTGATGAACCAACTTGGACACAGAATATTATTTGAGAACATAGAAATGCTGGACCACTCTCACAACCACCATATCAGGCTACACAGAGAAGCCATTGAAATCCACAAGCAGGTGGACAATATCCACAGAAAGGAGGAAACCATGAAAATGAACAAAATCTGGCTACCAGTATTTAAAAACTCTAAAATTATAACAGCAAAACAACACCCAAACACAGGGAAACTCCAGAGAGGAAACAATCAGGGACAGCTAATCACCTCTCAACAAAAGATTCCCTCAGGCACTCACAAGCCACACCAAAAAATTGCCAGACCATCAAATGCTAATCAAGGTGGTCATTTGAAACATTCACACCTAGCTCCAACAGACAAGAGTTCTTTGCCCCACCCTGGTCATTCCACAGATATATAAACCCACTTCCCTAGTTCCAACAGACCTCACTACCTCTGAGGATGCTTGCCATAGATGCAGGTGAAATATCAGGAGAGAATGCCTCTAGAACATGGCCATATAGCCCGAAAAAACTACAACAACCCAGGACCAAGTTGTTTTTGCCAATTGACTTTGTGGCAACTCTATAAATTCTATAGTGTTGTCAAAGGCTTTCATGGCTGAAATCACTGGGTTGTTGTAGGTTTTTTCGGGCTATATGGCCATGGTCTGGCTACCAGTATTAAAAAAACTCTAAAATTACAACAGCACAACAACAGAGAGGAAACAAACAAGGACATCTCATCACCTCTCAACAAAAGATTGCCCCAGGCACTGTCAGGCCATTATATGCTAATCAAGGTGGTCGGTTGAAACATTCACACCTAGCTCCAGCAGACAAGAGTCCTTTGTCCCACCCTGGTCATTGCATAGATATATAAACCCTTTTCCCTAGTTCCAACAGACCTCACTACCTCTGAGGATGCTTGCCATAGATGCAGGCGAAATGTCAGGAGAAAATGCCTCTAGAACATGGCCATATAGCCTGAAAAAACCTACAACAACCCAGTGATTCCGGCCATGAAAGCCTTCGACAATACATTAGACCTCACAACCTCTGAGGGTGCTTGCCATAGATGCAGGCGAAACATCAGGAGAGAATGCCTCTAGAACATGGCCATATAGCCCGGAAAAAAACCTACAATAGACCAGGACCAAGTTGTTTTTGCCATTTGATTTTGTGGCAACCCTATGAATCCTAGTGTTTTTGGGTAAGGGAACTTTAAGAGATGGTTTGGCCTCTGGAATATTATCTAGAGCATCTGGGATTATTTTTGGACTTTGGGGAGAGTCTTCTTTTTTGCATTGACACTCCCAACATGTTGTCTTGGGGATGCTGGGAGTGGCAGTGCTCCAAAGACCCCCTTTCCCAGTTCTCTGCTATATTTGGAGGGGAAAGGGACCAAGGGAGGATCTTGTGTGTCTGCAAGCCTTCAAGGAGCTCCGGAGCTTGCTTGGGATGGCAACCACAAGGACCTCGGGATAGATATATCACTGGATTCGTAGCAGTATTGGTACCCAATATCGGTACGTAAATGCATAGGAATGAAAACCCAAATTGGAAGCAAAGTGAGGGATTCCCAAAGGGCAATGCACTCACCTTGTTCCCTTGCACCGGAGACCTGGGTTTCCATGCGCCCGGCTCTTCCTCCCTATTAGATTTTGATGCATCTCAGCTCTGGAGCTCCTAAACCCATTAGAGGCTTTTCCATTGTCGGCAACAATCAGGGCAAAGCCCCGTAAGGCTAAAGGGTGAGGATGAGAAGAGCCTGCGCGTGGGGTGGATTTGGGGTTCTCTGAAAGTCACCCCAATTCAAAGAGGTAGAAAGAGACAAGAAAAAGGAACGCGTTTGGAAGAATAAATTATTTAGAGGAGCAGAGATTTTCCAGCAGAACTAAGGAGGAAGATATTTCCCCATTAAATGAAGCATCTTTAATGCAACCGGATGGATGCGTTAATGGTCAGCTATTTAAAGAACGGTTAAGATCTCATTTGGTGTAATGGGTGGTGAAGTGACTCCAGGGATCAGGGTTTGAGTCTCCCCTCGGCCATGGAAACTTACTGGTCAAACTGGTCAATCTCAATAATAATAACACTATGTATTATTTTTGTTCCTGGTTATCAATGTCATTCCCTAATCATAAAAAAATATGGAGAAAGTTTATTAAACTGCAGTATCTTTGTTTTTGCAGGACATCCGCAGCACATCCTGCTATAGTTTATCAATCAATATCTCATCGAGTCTCAAGCAATTCAACAGAGTTTGTGGCATAAAAACAAAAGTTTATGGAGTACTTTGAAGGACTGCACAATTAAACAGGAAATAACACTTTCAAACCAGGAACAGAAAAAAAAATCAAATTTGTTTATGTAATGTAGTATTTCAGCCTGTGATTGTGTCTGATGTTGATGCTCATGATGGGAATGAGGATATTGTTCCTGAGGATGGGCCTGAGGATGATCAGTGCCATTTACTAATTGGTTCCATCATAAAAACATGTGAAAACTTTGCCTTTGTGGGAGGGACATCCTGCTATAGCACATTTTGGTCTAGTTTTCCAATGAATATCTCATCATCAGGTCTCAACCAATTCAACTTAGCTGTTTCCTCAGTTACCAACATTGACCAGACTGGGCGGAAAATTCCCCTGGCCTCTCTAATATACACATGAAATCATGCCTTCTCCCATGACTTCATGATATGGGTCTCTTCTCTAACAAGCACTATGACCTTTGAAGATTCTGTTGAGCAGCACGAAGTTTATGAAAACTGAGTTTCCTATCAACCAGCTCATTATCTTGCAATTCATCATTCTCTCCACCTGGGATTTCAGCCTCTTAACTCATTTCTCTAGAGAACTACTCTTCTGCACCATTTTGGCACCTCTCTGGAATATGGAGCAGAACAACTACTTTCAAAGTAAGGACAGCACAATTAAACAGGAAATCATGGAATCATAGAATCATAGAGTTGGAAGAGACCTCCTGGGCCATCCAGTCCAACTCCTTTCTGCCAAGAAGGAGGAATATTGCATTCAAATCACCCCTGACAGATGGCCATCCAGCCTCTGTTTAAAAGCTTCCAAAGAAGGAGCCTCCACCACACTCCGGGGCAGAGAGTTCCACTGCTGAACGGCTCTCACAGTCAGGAAGTTCTTCCTCATGTTCAGGTGGAATCTCCTTTGTTGTAGTTTGAAGCCATTGTTCTGCATCCTAGTCTCCAGGGAAGCAGAAAGGAAGCTTGCTCCCTCCTCTTCCCTGTGGCTTCCTCTCACATATTTGTACATGGCTATCATATCTCCTCTCAGCCTTCTCTTCTTCAGGCTAAACATGCCCAGCTCTTTAAGCCGCTCCTCATAGGGCTTATTCTCCAGGCCCTTGATCATTTTAGTCACCCTTCTCTGGTTTAAAACTGGCTTCTCTGGCTTTAAAACTGGCTTTTTTATTTTTTAAAAAAAGCCAGAAACCAAAGGCAAATCTTTTGAAGAAATTGCAGAAGACTTCTGTCGCCGAACCCCGCAAACAGGTGCTGAAATGGAATGCCTGGGAGGCAACCAGAATGCATAGAGGCATCTGTGGAAGAGAGGAATACTGCAAGCAATGTGTTATTAACGCTTCTGGGGATAGTTCTGGAGAAAGCATTCACTTTAAAATGTAAAAACTTGGGGAAAGAACTGGGTTTTCTGGCTTAAGCCGAGGCCAGGAAATTCCTTCCTTCCCTGGTTTAAAACTGGCTTCTCTGGCTTGAGCCAAGGCCAGGAAATTCCTTCCTTCCCTGGCTTAAATCTGGCTTCTCTAGCTTGAGCTAAGGCCAGGAAATTCCTTCCTTCCCTGGTTTAAAACTGGCTTCTCTGGCTTTAAAACTGAATTCTCTGGCTTGAGCAGAGGCCAGGAAATTCCTTCCTTCCCTGGTTTAAAACAGGCTTCTCTGGCTTGAGCCGAGGCCAGGAAATTCCTTCCTTTTCTGGTTTAAAACTGGCTTCTCTGGCTTTAAAACTGGCTTCTTTGGCTGGAGCCGAGGCCAGGAAATTCCTTCCTTTTCTGGTTTAAAACTGGTTTCTCTGGCTTGAGCTGAGGCCATGAAATTCCTTCCTTCCCTGGTTTAAATCTGGCTTCTCTGGCTTTAAAACTGGCTTCTCTGGCTTTAAAACCGGCTTCTCTGGCTGGAGCCAAGGCCAGGAAATTCCTTCCTTTTCTGGTTTAAATCTGGCTTCTCTAGCTTGAGCTAAGGCCAGGAAATTCCTTCCTTTTCTGGTTTAAAACTTGCTTCTCTGGCTTTAAAACTGAATTCTCTGGCTTGAGCAGAGGCCAGGAAATTCCTTCCTTCCCTGGTTTAAAACTGGCATCTCTGGCTTTAAAACTGGATTCTCTGGCTGGAGCCAAGGCCAGGAAATTCCTTCCTTTTCTGGTTTAAAACTGGCTTCTCTGGTTTGAGCCGAGACCAGGAAATTCCTTCCTTCCCTGGTTTAAAGGGGCTTCTCTGGTTTTAAAACTGAATTCTCTGTCTTGAGCAGAGGCCAGGAAATTCCTTCCTTCCCTGGTTTAAAGTGGCTTCTCTGGCTTTAAAACTGGCTTCTCTGGCTGGAGCTGAGGCCGGGAAATTCCTTCCTTCCCTGGTTTAAAGGGGCTTCTCCGGCTTTAAAACTGGCTTCTCTGGCTTGAGCTGAGGCCAGAAAATTCCTTCCTTTCCTGGTTTAAATCTGGCTTCTCTGGCTTTAAAACTGGCTTCTCTGGCTTGAGCCGAGTCCAGGAAATTCCTTCCTTTTCTGGTTTAAAACTGGCTTCTCTGGCTTGAGCCGAGGCCAGGAAATTCCTTCCTTGCCTGTTTTAAAACTGGCTTCTCTGGCTTTAAAACTGGATTCTCTGGCTGGAGCTGAGGCCAGGAAATTCCTTCCTTCCCTGGTTTAAAACAGGCTTCTCTGGCTTGAGCCGAGACCAGGAAATTCCTTCCTTTTCTGGTTTAAAACTGACTTCTCTGGCTTGAGCTGAGGCCAGGAAATTCCTTCCTTCTCTGGTTTAAAACTGGCTTCTCTAGCTTAAGCCAAGGCCAGGAAATTCCTTCCTTCCCTGGTTTAAATCTGGCTTTTCTGGCTTCAAAACTGGCTTCTTTGGCTGGAGCCGAAGCCAGGAAGTTCCTTCCTTTTCTGGTTTAAAACTGGCTTCTCTGGTTTGATCCAAGGCCAGGAAATTCCTTCCTTTTCTGGTTTAAAACTGGCTTCTCTGGTTTGAGCCAAGGCCAGGAAATTCCTTCCTTCCCTGGTTTAAAACTGGCTTCTCTGGTTTGAGCCGAGGCCAGGAAATTCCTTCCTTTTCTGGTTTAAAACTGGCTTCTCTGGCTTGAGCTGAGGCCAGGAAATTCCTTCCTTTTCTGGTTTAAAACTGGCTTCTCTGGCTTGAGCCGAGTCCAGGAAATTCCTTCCTTTTCTGGTTTAAAGCTGGCTTCTCTGGCTTGAGCTGAGTCCAGGAAATTCCTTCCTTCCCTGGTTTAAAGCTGGCTTCTCTGGCTTGAGCTGAGTCCAGGAAATTCCTTCCTTCTCTGGCTTTAAAACTGGCTTCTCTGGCTTGAGCCGAGAAAAGCAGGCAGAGAAAAGCAAGTGGAGGAAATTCTTCCCTTTTCTGGTTTAAAACTGGCTTTTCTGGCTTAAGTCAAGGACCAGAAACAGAGAAAAGCAAGTGGAGGAAATTTCTCCCTTTTTTGGTTTAAAACTGGCTTCTCTGGCTTGAGCCGAGGCCAGGGACCAGAAGTGGGGAAAAGCTGAATAATTACTGATTCACTTCATGAGTGGTAACAAAAATGGCAGAAAATGCTCCGGAAGGGCAAAGGACTTCTGGATTTCTTAAAAACTCCAAAATTGCTTCAAAAAGGTAATTTTTCCGACTTTATTCCAAATTACGAAGATTCCAACAGTACCTAACCATGCCTAGCCTCCAGACAGATGCCCTTCCAACCTCTGTTTGGAGACACCAACCCTGAAGCAGTCCATTCCTGTAGCAAACGGCGCTTACAGGCAAGCCTTGCGCGCCTTCCTTGTTCTCTTTCCCTTCTCAATTACAGGCCAAAGCTGACATCAACATACATCTTTGCGCTCCCGCAATCTCCTGCTGCAAAAAGCCATTATCCCTGTTTTGGCGTTACAGCGGTTGTTTAGCATTCGTGGGCAGATGCTCCAGCAAATGCACATTATGTTTTGATGGTGCCGTCGTGCATTAATGTGCCATGCTGCCGAGACGCTCCCCGCCTCCCTGTTATCATTTTGCTGACCTTGTTTTCCCCCTTCTTTTTCCTGCGTTCATCTTCCGTATCTGGCAATTTTATGACCCCTTTCGAGCATAATTTTAAATTTCAGGAGCCACAGTTTGGAACCCAAATAGAAACAACTTCCATAGAAAGCCCTTTTTTAAAAAAAACGTGAAGGTTAAGCTAGATGCAATGCCGTGAGCCATGTGCACAAAGCTATTTTGGAACAGGTTATTTATGGCATTTTTCCAGGAGGAGAACAATTAGCAGGAGCGAAGGGAGTGATTTGAAATGCTCATGCCATCTTGAAATAGCTAAAGGTTGCCCAGAAGCCTGACCTAAGCTTCATGCAAATAGCTTTGTTTTCAAACATGGATGGGTCAATGAATGCCATCGATCAAGCATGACAGAGATGTCTGCAATTCTTTGAGAACTTCTGTTGACTCTCCTTCTTTGGAGGTCTTCAAATGGAGGTTGGGTGGCTGTCTGTTGGGAGTGCTTTATTTGTGTCTCCCTGCATGGCAGAAAGGGGGTTGGGTTAGATGGCCTTTGGGGTT